ACCTTAAATTCATATTGATTCAACTCCAACTGCCCTGTTGATGGTATGATGGAAATTATAATCCCAAGAGGAGAGCTGTTGTTGTTGCTCACCTTTAACTTTTTTTCTATGGCAGTTGCACGCACAGCAGTTAAGGGCTTCAATGGTGCCCTCTTCTCCGCTAGGCATGAGTTCGCAACAGCCATCCGTAGCAGTCCCTCCCATGGCTGATGCATGGTTCTTGAGGCACTCTTTGTAGCTCACCCCATTATGCCCAAATTTCTTATTATTAAAATTGTTGAATTTGTAGGGCACAACATGAGAATGATCCAGGCTTGTGGGCATGGGAATAGAGCCATTAGTGTTGGGGGCATTTGATTTTGGGGCATCAAGTACTATTGAGGAGGGAAGAAAATTGGAGTGGTTGTTATTGTTTTGGGGCACCATTTATGAAAGTAAATCAACTACTGTACACTATATATGAAACCGGAAAAGGCACTATTTTTAAAATTTAACAAAAAAACTAGACCAAGGAAAAGACACTATTTATGAAACTATATCAATTACTAAACAATATTTATGAAACTTGACTAAGAACTAGACACTATTTATGAAACATGACCAAGAACTAGGCACTATATATGAAAATAGACCAAGAACTAGACACTATTTATGAAACTGGACCAAGAACGAGACATTATTTATGAAACTGTGCCAATTACTATACATTATATATGAAACAAGATCCAATAACTAGGCACCACTTATGAAGTGAACCAAGAGTTAGACACTATTTATGAATCTAGATCAACAAATAGTGTAGTACCATTCAGTTTCATAAATAGTATAATACCGTTCAGTTTCATAAATAGTATAGTACTGTTAAGTTTCATAAACAGTGTAGCACTATTCAGTTTCATAAACAGTGTCTGTGATGGACACGCGGATCTCCCATGTCAAATTTTATTTTTTTATTTCTTTATTTTTAAATTGTGTCCTTTTCATTAAAATTTAAGTTCTTTTGTCATTTTTATTAAAATTTAAGAGTTTTTCATTAAAATTTAAGTTTTTTTTCATTAAATAAAGTTATAGCATGATTTTTGGTTAAAATAAACTTAGCACAAGCCTTTTTCATGAAAGCTCCCTTATTTTAATTCATGATCTCAACTTTCTATATTTTGTATTGAATAATTAGTTAAGAATTTGTTTTAATCATAAGTTATTCATATCAATCATTGTAGAGAACGACCTTACTTAGAGCTATCTATACAACAATTTCCTTGTCCTCTTGCAAATATTTTTAGGTGTTTTAATCCTATTTGTACAGGTGATAAAAATCCTCTCACTTTGCTTTAGATGCTTTACGATTTGGCTTAACGATTACACTTAAAGGTTTGGGACATGGGTTAAGCTATATGACGAGTCATCTATAATAAATTAATATCAAAATTGTCATTCATGAGAGTACAAATAAAAGTTCTCTTTACAAGTAAAAAGTAACACCATTATACTATAGTACTAAGATTGATATAGTTAAACGTGTAATTTTCAATAATATATGCTCATTTCAAACATAAATAAATAAACATAAGTTACGAAACCAAGGGATCTAAACTCGTGATCTACCCAAGCTAGACGAAAACGATATAAATTAGTGGACAAGGTCAGAATAATTACGATAGATTTGATATTTGAGTGTGCAAAATAAAAAGGTTGGTGCTATACAACTTTTTTTACCTCCCATATATTTTTTTTAATTTTCAACCGTCAAATCGAATGAATGAAAACGTATCAAATGACAAAATCTTAACAAAGAGTATATGGAAGATGTGTAAACAGTACCACCCAATAAAAACATTATTACACTGTATAAATACACAGAATGATATCTGAGAGATGGACAGAGAGAGCACTTGAATTTCTGTGTTATCAGCCCCGGCCCACTGGTTATCATCAGAGCTGTTAAACCTCTACCAACCTAAAGGCAATTTTGCAGTGGCACTGAAACCACACATGCACACATCACAGAGAGAGAGAGAGAGAGAGAGAGAGAGAGAGAGAGAGGTGATTTGTTTAATAGTTTCAAGAAAATTGCCTGTGTAGGTTCGTCTCGTTCATATGCCATGCATATCTGGTGGTGGTGTATCAGATTTAATAATTGGGATCTTTGATACTACACTGTCTAATCTCAATAGCTTTAACCTCCCTTAATTTTATATTATAACTGACCATGATTAGCTTTTGGTAATTAAATCAGTCAAAGGTAACTTTACCTTATTGTTTTATTTATGAGTGCGTAGTGATAGTAAGATATACATTCATGCTTTGTAAACTTAAAATAATGACAATGTTAGCTACATAACCTTTTTACTTTTATTGTTATATGACGATCCGAAATCGTTCCAACCTTATATAAGTTGTTAAGCATAGTTCTGGGAAGAACTAAAAAATCAATATAATCGAAAGACGGTTAAATATTTGAATAACATGCAGTGTGATAACTTGACGTTTAATTGAAAACTTGAGTTCGTCTAGTCATTTTGTAATAGTTCAACGGAAAATTGATTTCATAGTTTTTGTTATGTTTTTGCAAAAGAAGAAATGGATTGTTTTCCACAAAAAAAAAAAAACAAAAAAAAAAAAAAAAGAAGAAGAAGAAATGGATTAGTAATCATCAATGGTTAGATATTTTAAACTTCCTGATAAATTTGGAAATGGTTAAATCCTTGAAATTATCTGAACTGGCCAACCTTTTGTTTATCATGGTATTTTCAATGATTTGTTTTAATGAAGTGACAGACGTAAAAACTTAATCGTATGTGAAAAATAGCTTAGGTAGACGTAAAGAAACAATGATCACTTTTGAGTCTCTCCTCTAAAATAATGGAGCAATACATCGAATTTGGAAGTTAGAATTATGTTACATTCCTGCCAATATATATCCTTTTCAAATGACATTAATTCGTACCTATTTGCAAAACAAATTACGAACAAATCATAAGCCTATTCTTCTAGAAATCTCACAACAAATAGCACAAAATTTAAATATCTTCCTTCAGAAAAACCTCAATTACAAATGTGAAGCCTTAAAAACCTAGAAACTTACCTTACCAATTCCGAGCAAATGAAAAAAATGGACAAAGAGATTGAATGAAAAGTACATGTTAGAAGTGTAATTATACTCCTCCGTTAATTACATCCCAATTTCAGATTATACCCTAAAACAAGAGGGAGAGAGAGATTTGATGATTATTCCCTTACCTCGTTGGAAACTAAATATCATAGTTGGTTGCAACCAGTTTTTCTCCTTTGGTTAAATCGGCAACAATATTTTTGGCAGTTCTTTCTACAAGAGTGAAATAATTTATGACATTATTAATTACACATCTTACATTAATAAATTTCAGAAACCCATCTTTGACACCCAAAGTGTCTCCTTAAACTAGTGTCAGAAAAAGGGGGACAATTGGTGACAAGATTTTTCCTAGACACGACTTAAAGTAAGAAGTGACAATTACTGAACATCAATCCAATTTATTAATTAGGTAATCATTTTTAAATATTCTCATAAATATTCCTTTCTAATTTAAAATACTCAATCAACATGAGCAAATTTGATCAACATTATCTCTTTTTTACTTTCTTAAAATTTTTGGCATGTGTTGGATATTTTTATCTTAAAAGAAAAAAAACGGTTAATTAAAAACGTCTCCTTAAAATTAATAAATTAAAAACGTCTCAAATACCAAAACTAAATATACACCTACGTAGGTCAGTAAACCGCAATGATTTACTCCTTAGTTGTCCAATAAACACGGCCCACGCGCCGCCCTGTAGCAGTCCAATGTTGTTCTATTGAACTCCGTTGGATTGAGCTCCCTGAGATGAATCCTACGGTGTAGCTAACATCCCCGAAAACCTAGTGTTGTACTTGTACTCGATCAGGTCGAGAGTGGAAGAGTTGAACCACTGTTCATCTTCTTCCTCTAAGAATTTTAGACGTTCTGGATTTTTCCCTCTCTTAGGACTTAAAAATCGTTAATAAATTGACTTCAATCTCTTAAAACTTGAAAATCTCTCACCCAAATATGGCACGTTCTCATTAATATTATTAGTCAATAAGGGAGATATTTGAACTTGGATCCAAATCTTTGTCGGATCCTCTTTGTGAGGATTTCGGAAATCCATGAATCGTGTCCGTTCATCGTACATCATGCAGTTAGAAATTATTTTAAATATTTTTATTTAAAATTAAACACAAATAGTACCTGATAAAAACTGACCGCATGATGTACGATGAACGGACATGATTCACGAATTCTCAAGATCCTCACCAAAAGAATCCAGAGAGAATCATGTTGGTTTGAACTCAAGTCCAATGAAACACACGAACACTGCTTCAACCAACTAACCTAATCACAATTGTTTATATAGGTTTGCAAAGGGTTCATTCCCAAGATTATGTTTGGACCAATCTTACATCAGTACTACAAATGGAGGTGGATTGTCTGCCCTCCTATTTCCATACTCTTTCCATCCCCTCATGTTTTGTGTGGTCACGGTTAAGCCACGTCAACATTTTATATTCCTATTACTTTTTGTTTTATTATTTTTATAAAAAAATCAGTATAAAATATTGACGTGACTTAATCGTGACCACATAAACAGGAGAGGAAGGAAAAATAATGAAAATGGGAGGGTAGACACTCCACCTCCACTACAAATACCGCATGATGCTCAGATTTTGACCGGTCACCACTCAAAACAAATAATGGTGGCCCTCCAAATACAGCCAGTGGGATGGGACCTATCAAAACCCCATTGCCAATCCCAATAGCAACAGACACTGCTCATCACTCCTCAACACTGGCCACCATTTTAACATCCAGAGTTGGTCACAGTTTTGTCAAATTTTAAATTCATCCATCTAGTTTTTTAATTCTTAATTTTTTAATTTTTTTAATTTTATATATATACACACACGCACACACAAGCATTACTGATAAATTGTAAAAATCAAATTCGAGACTTCGGGTGTAAAATTTTATTGATCTAGAATTGTCACTGAAGGGAAAAGGTAAAAAACAAAACTGTTTCCCTAAACACCACCAACATATCTTTCAAAATGCTGTGATTGCGAACCCTTTGGATGATTGGATCTTCACCACATTTCAAATCTATGGTTCTCTCTCTCTGTATATTAATGCTATAGGGGACCTCCAAAACCACACCAAAACTTCCCATTCAACCAAACTGATTGGCTGGGGTGTGAAGGAGAAAAGTTCACACCTCATGACTGATTGTCTGGTTTCCTCCTCTTAATGTCTGGACTACTATGTGAAGAATTTGCACATGATCCAACTATAAATTCATCACTTTTACAGCTCAAGCATGCAGCATCCAACACCCCATTCGGACTTGGGGGCACCGACGGACCTGAGGCGCTTCCCCGATTGGCGGAATCACTGATCAATGACAAATCTTTCATCAGTTCAATACACTTCAACACTCTTTCCTGAAAGTTCCACAAACAGAAAAGCTTCAAAAACCATTACATTGGGAAAAAGATCAAATAATATCCAAGAAACTTTCTAAGAGCTAAAGCAAATTTGTCCTGTCAAGGGTTTGCATCTCTGGAACAACCTTTTTACCTTGTCTACATGTACGAAACAAGAAATGGCCTTATCGACGTCTACTGATTGTGCTTGTATTTCTCCTGAAATACAAATTGCGACTGCTGCAGCGATTTCCGAAGGCCTGAATTCCAAAAAGTGAATACCTGCATTCATTCCCATCCAACAGTTCATTGAATTCAAATACTCAAGAACATCAAAGTACAAAATATAGCTCATCACAGAGTAAAAAAAAGACCTCTGATTGTGCTCAAAACGAGTTGTTCTGATCTACCGATGGACGATGTCAACGGATGTTGATCATCACATATCTTGCCGAGGAAGTAGTCAATGAAAGTGTAAGGAGTACAAACTTGCATTCTCCATTTTAGGGTGCTCATCACAAGTAGTTCCATTCTTAGTATAGTTTTTGCTTCAAACACAAACTTCGGATCTCCAACCTGTGCACAATCAACACATAATCAATACCAGCTTCCGAATTTTCAAAATGCAAGTCCAACAATAGTTATCGAAGCACATGATTTCTATACCTGTAAGTCCACAGACTGAGGTACATTAGTCTCTTCTACTTTGGCTGCTATTGATAAACAAGCCACGGCTAGCAATTGCAACGCCCAAGTTTTACCTCTCTGTATTGACACGAAAAGTGAAGTACAAGATCAAGAACAGAAGCAGCATAAATGAGAACACCTTGTATGTAAAGGAAATGAGAAAAAGAAGCAAATTTTCGGTCTACTTCCAAAACTTACAGGCAATTCATAAAGCGAAAGGAAGCGATCCCAGTAGTTCATAGATAGCCAAACACACAACGGCCCAAAACTGTAATGGGAATGAGCCTGTTGATCACAACACACAACAATTCAACCTAATTCAGTAATCATGAAAACCGAAAGTCTATACATTGGCAATCAAAATGAGAGAAACATAAGCCAGCATCCAAATTTAGAACACAAATGAGATGCCACAGAAAATCAGATAAGGAACGGACGCCATGATCATGGATCCCACAACTTAGATAGACTCGGGACATGTCCAAAACAATCAAAAAATTCACACTGTAAAAAACATGTCTTAAGAAGCTCTTGAAGAACAAAACCCAGTTGCAGAAACCTGAATAGCATTCGCAAAAACCAGTAAAAATGCAAAATCATTAGAAGTAAAAACAATAACCCAATGGAGCAGAAGAGGGTAAAAACTCCACCAACCTTCCAAATCCAATCAAGGGCCTCCCTTCTAGTGCTTAAGTCTAATTCCCCAGAACGCAGTCTCCTCAGATAATCGTGTGTGGGCAAATGCTCACTCTCCCTCTTAACCATTTCAGTCACACCCACTTCACTCTGTGATGGAAAATCTATCATGGACTTAGATCTACAGTTGTGATCAAAATTGGGGTCTTGATTGGTTTTGTGGGAAATTGATGGGGAGTGCCCCAAGTCATCTGTGGCATTAGAATCAAGATCATCAAAGCAGGTATTCGAATTTTCTGCACATAGAAGGTTTGAGGTGGCAGAGTCAAAGCTGTCTGCCATTGGAGCACCTTGAGATGCCCTGTAAAACCCAACAAAATCTCATCAAATTAGAGCCTGGGTTTTACCAAAGATGGCATTTTCATGGCACAACAGAACCCAAGAACAAGTGAGAGTCTGTCTACAAACCAAGTGTGATTGTGGTGTAGATACAAACAGAGTGAATAGGAGAGAGAGAGAGAGAGAGAGAGTAAGAGTACATAGGCAAAGAGAGTAGCTTTATGAAGGAACTGAGCATGCGTGTTTTAGGGCAAACGAGAGATTGGGGGGAGTGAGGGGAGCGAAGGCTGTGGATTCGTAGATACAGAACCAAAAATGAAAAGGAACAAAGCCCAAATGAGAGAACCAAACAACTTGCTCTTTTATATATTCATTTTTGGTTTGAGAAAATTCAAATATTATGGAATTAATATAAAAACATAATAAAAACAAAATACATACTAAACTTTTATTGAGGTTGTAACTTAGTATTATGATCTAGTAATATTTATCTCTATTTGTATGTCAGAGTCATAACTTCGACTCTCGTTGATGGCAAGTTTACTACCACATTATTATGGTTGACACATTGTTAGGCCAAACCCAAATTCTCCACCGTTAGTGTAAATATTATTTGTATTAAAAAAAACTTTAATTGACGTTTTTGCAAAACTAATTACATCATTGTTATATTAATGATGAAACAAACGTGTGATCTAGTTCTAGGCTTCATGTAAGCCACACTTCCAGCAGTGGGACCAAAATGTATGATTGGACATCGTTTTGGGAGCAGGATAGGTCACATGATTGTTAGCGCATCAATTTAATAAAAGGAAAACTAATGAAAATGGCTTGAAAACTTTGAGTTTTAATGATAAGGATAAAATAAAGGGTAAAGTGAATAGTACCAGGATTGACTTTTTAGTGTAAAAATGTGGTTTTTCGTTAAAGTGAACTGTACCAGGTGCTTTTCGTTAAAGTTCCCTTTAATAAATGATCAAATTATCGGGCTTGACTACAATATTTACATTAATTTAATATAATTATTATCTGATTGTCGAGATGTTGATTATATTAAATACACGTAAGTATGGTAGACAAATCCTAAACTTTGTATAAAAAAAAGATCAAACAACCATACAAACATTAAGCATAAACTGATGTGATTTAAAAAAAAAAAAAAAAACTCATGAAACAATGCGAGAAAATTAAAATCTCATGGTTTATTTTAAAAATAACTTAAACCTAAAATGTGTTAAATATAGTTGATCATTTGTTGTTGGGTAAATAACTTTTATGAGAGGCTGAATGAAGGGTATTAGGTTTGTGATAATGCATATAATGGTAAAATGAGACTTTGTACCCTTTTACTTACGTGTATTTAATAAGAGAGTGAACAACTGATGAGGACTTCTTAAAATTGCAACATTTAGAGGATGATATATATATATATATATATATATATATATATATATATATATATATATCCAAATCCACATTCAGATCATTTGGAGGGAGGAGAAAATAATGACTATACATTTAGTATATCCAACACTCAAGTCTCAACCCAAGTTTTAGTAAAAATTAGTGGCGACTTAGGATTCAAAATTTAATTGGATTAAATTTACATTACCAAATTATTACATTACCAAATTAAGGAGCATATAAAAAATCTTGGTAGAATTGAACCAAATAAAACAAAAGAAGAACGTTCTCATCTTTCCAAAACGGCTCGGAAATTTAATTAAAAAAAAAAAAAAGAGATGAACAAACACTTATAGAGGCTCAAACCTCCTCCTTTCCAAATCCCAACATAGGATCCTCTCCGAATTCTCTTTGTGAGGATCATAGGAATCCATGAATCGTGTCCGTTTATTATATATTGTACTGTCAATTTTTGACATGTACTGTTTATGTTCAATTTTAAATAAAAAAAATTTAAAATGATTTCTGACCACATTATGTACAATGAACGGACATAATTCACGGATCCTCAGAACCCTCACAAAAAGGATCCAGATTCTTCCAAATCACATAAGCGAGAAGGAATGACGTATTCTGGACAACAAATTTTTTTCGTCAGAAGGTAGACATTAATAAAATAAAGTTCAAACAGACAAATTATAGCGTATGTAGCTCTAGAAAGGATCGATATACAAAATGAAGACGCCACTTATGCAAACAAATAATGAGTAAAAATTCTTCCCTATAGCAATTACAAATAGTACATAAAGAAAAAAAAAACATAAAAGAGTTTCAACCAAAAAACAGATCCTCCATAGGGGCTTAGACAGTAGAGACCCAGAGGTTGCTAATAAAGAAAATCCTAGAAGCCTAGGTGAGGGATGACCTGCCGCAGCTGGCCAGAAACTAGAAGCGTCTAACAACCCACACTCCGATTCTGTACCACAAAACAACAATTATTTCACCCTTACATCGACAAACCTTTAAAAGCCCAAATAAAAAGCAATACTAAACCGCATACTAACAACATAAAAAAAATCCAAAACAAAACTAAAAACTATCACCAATAAACCTGCAAACCGAAAGGAGCAACCAAATCTCATAACTATAACCATTGCTCGAGGACCAATAAGAACATAGTTCCAACGCCAACGAAGTAGAACGTGAATTCAGATCCAAAGAAGGAGCGACGTAAATCGTCACGCTGAACCCAAGTGCTTGGTTTCGGACACCTTCAACTAGATAAGCAATGATTCACTCAGGGGGGAGCGCAGTAGACACAAAAGCTTGGTCGGCCTTCTCAATCGAAAATAGGTAAATTGACCATAAAGGAAAGTCTTGAGGGTTGGATTTGTAGTATGGGTTAGGGAATTGAGATTCATTTGGGGCTAACGGAAATCTGGTACACAATAGCAATAAAAAAGGAAGAATTTGGAGGAATCTAAAAATGGGAAAAATGAGTTCCTGAACCACCATCGGATGAGAGGTGGGGCAAACACCACCACCTTAGGAAAGATGGGGCACGCTACCATCATATGAGAGATGGAGCAAAAAAAGCCAATGGAGGAGAAATACAAGAAAAGGAAATGTGGGAAAAGAGGTAGAGAAATGAGAAAGGGGAGACACTAGGTAAGGGAAGGGGACTAGAGGAAAACGAGGCACGAAGGGGGACTGAAGAAATGAGTGGGGGTAGGGGGAGGTAAAAAGGAGGGGTGACATGGTCTTTGGGAGGAAGAGGGGAAGATGGGAGGGGGAGGAGGACGAGATGGAATGGGTATTTTGGTTGCCATCAACGGGGGTATTGAGGATGGGAGTGGGGGGTAGGGGAGGTAAAGGGAGGGGTGGCGCAGTTTTTGGGAATGAGATGAGAAGACGGGAAGTAGGTCTGGCACACGGGTTGTGTCTGTTGTGTTCGTGTCATTTTCATGTAACACCTAGTATCTTAATGGGTCGTGTTTTGTCACACCCGTTATCTTAACGGGTCTTTAACAGATCGGGTCACTTTAAAGTGACCCGACTCGTTATGACCCATTAAGAAAAATATATTTTTTTCTTAAATTTGCACATACCACACATGGCCACATAAATATTACTTCAAAACATTAAAACACATTTGTCGTTTAACTACTACATCTACACTTGAAAATAAGAGCCTAATAAACAAACATTCATGCACTGCTAGTCTATTACAAAATATTCAATGCGCAAGGATATGCAAAATAAAAGAGTTTTTGTTTTCAAGGTTGTAAAGTCTTTCTCAAAAGTTAAACTTTGCCAATGGAATTCAAAGCTTACATGTTATTCCTTTTACAAAATCCTCAATTTTCATTGATTATCATGACATAAGATTTTGTGGTATCCACTAGTGTAAATATTTTAAATTGAAGATTGAATTCATTTATTGTATTCATATAGGGTCAAGGAGTGTAGCTGTAAAAAAATCATCAAAATCGGAGTTAAAATAACTGTTAAATCGTGATTTTTCGTTGATAACCGTCGAAAAAGTTTGTCCCGTTACTTGATCTCTGAATGTTTGTTTTTTACGATTTTTGGTGTGTGCGATCTTGAAGCATATTCAAACAAGTTTGATGGTTGGATTGTTGAAATTAGTTTCGTAGAATGCGTATCTCATCAAAACGATAGATTTACTAACACTTAGAGTTTATTTGTACTTTTATTAAGTATAACATAAGATTTTGTGGTATCCACTTGTGTAAATATTTTAAATTGAAGATCAAATTCATTCATTGTATTCATATAGGGTCAGGGAGTGTAGTTGTAAAAAATCATCAAATTCGGAGTTAAAATAACCGTTAAATTGTGATTTTTCGTTGATAACCATTGAAAAGTTTTGTTCGTTACTTGATCTTTGAATGTTTGTTTTTTGTAATTTTTAGCATATGCGATCTCGAAGTATATACAAACATATGTGACGGTTCGATCGTTGAAACTAGTTTTGTAGAATGCGTATCCCATCAAAACAATAGATTCATTAACACTTAAAAGTTTATTTTCATTAAGTATAACATAAGATTTTGTGGTATCCACTAGTGTAAATATTTTAAATTGAAGATCAAGTTTATTCATTGTATTCATATAGAGTCAAGGAGTGTAGCTGTAAAAAAATTATCAAAATCGGAGTTAAAATAACAGTTAAATCATGATTTTTCGTTGATAATCGTCTAAACGTTTTGTCTCGTTACTTGATCTTTGAATGTTTTTTTTTTGTGATTTTTGACGTATGCGATCTTGAAGTATATACAAACAAGTTTGACGGTTGGATCGTTGAATTTAGTTTCATAGAATGCGTATCCCAACAAAACGATAGATTCACTAACACTTAATAGTTTATTTATACTTTCATTAAGTATAACATAAGATTTTGTGGTACCCACTAGTGTAAATATTTTAAATCGAAGATCGAATTCATTCATTATATTCATATAGGATCAAGGAGTGTAGCTGTAAAAAATCATCAAAATCAGAGTTAAAATAACCGTTAAATCGTGATTTTTTGTTGATAACCATCGGAAAGTTTTGTCTCGGTACTTGATCTTTGAATGTTTGTTTTTTGAGATTTTTGGCATATGCGATCTTGAAGCATATACAAACAAATTTGACAGTTAGATCATTGAAATTAGTTTCATAGAATGCGTATCCCATCAAAACGATAAATTCACTAACACTTAGAGTTTATTTATACTTTCATTAAGTAAAACATAAGATTTTGTGGTATCCACTAGTGTAAATATTTTAAATTGAATATCGAATTCATTCATTGTATTCATATATGGTCAAGGTGTAACATCCCTCATCACCCAGGGGAGTGATCCTTAAATGTATATTCTCATCCCTACCTAGTATGAGGCCTT